AAAAAAAAAAAAAAAAAAAAGAAAAAGAAAGAAAAAGAAAGAAAGAAAGAAAGAAAAAGAAAGAAAGAAAGAAAGAAAGAAAGAAAGAAAGAAAGAAAAAACCAAAGGAAAGTGAATTAAAAAAAATATTTTCAATCAAGTGCAGTGGCTCACACCTGTAATCCCAGAGCTTTGGGAGGCCAAGGTAGGAGGACTGCTTGAAGCCAGGAGTTTGAGACCAGCCTAGGCAACACAGCAAGCCCTGTCTCTACAAAAAAGAAAAATTCGCTAGGCATGGTTGTGTACACCTGTAGTACTAGCCACTCAGGAGGCTAAAGCAGGAGGATTGTTTGTGCCCAGGAGCTTTAGGCTGCAGTGAGCCACATTCACACCACTGTACTCTAGCCTGGGTGACAGAGTAAACCCCCATCTCCAAAAGAAAAAAAAAAATCCATCTAATAAGTGCCAAAGGCATCATTAGGTCAGGCATATAAGCTGAGGGCAGAGGCCTGGGTTCAAGGTGTGACGCCTTGCTGTCCTAGGTCTGTGACCTTGTGGTATTCACTTAAGTTTCCTGAGCTTCAGTTTCCTAATCTATGAAAATAGGGATAAAGTTTTCCCTGTGGTGTTACTGAGCACATCAGGATAGAGTGAGGACTCCTAACAACGGTCCAGTAGGTGGCACGGTGCCTGTATACTCCACAGCAGCTGTTCCTTCCCTCCCAGCCTCACTGTCATCTCAGAGTGGTCTCCGACTGGCAGCCAGTTACATTCCCAGCCCTGGTGCTGGGTGCACTTTCTCCTCTGCCTGCACTTGGCTGGCTCAAATAGTGAAGTAAGAAACTGCATCAACATTTAATCATGAAAGCAAAAAGTTTATTCATGTTTGAAACTACATATAACTACCACAAGGAAGACTTTTTCAATCCAGGGTGTAATCCAGTTAGAAAGGAACACGAAACGTTTTAATACATTAGAATCACCGCCACAAATTATTTTCATGACTCAATCAGTTTCAGAATCGCATACAATACAAAAAGAGAGAAAGGAGAGGGGGCCCCATTACACAGGGTGAAATATACAGTACTGAATACTGAAATCTTAATGCATCACAATTAGTCGCTGCTTTTTTTTTTTTCTGCATGGATTAGTAATAAGATGAAGAACATTCAAAATGTTTCTCAGTATTTACAACAGTTTTTCTGATCCTGTGTTGAATTAAGACCCAATGTTTCCACTCTCAAAGTTTTTTAAAAGTTGCAAATGCAACCCCGATTTTTCTTTTAAAAGATTACAATGTATATTACAATTTATGAAGGGAAACAAAGAGTTAATTACAAGATGCAAAAAGATAAGAAAGAGACAAACTACAGCGTGAGTATTGTTCAGAGGTAGTAAGTGAGCACTCTAAGCTACAGAACATGTTGAAATTCTATTGGTTTGTATGAGTTCGCATGAGGTAATAAAGCTGTGTTTTGATTGGTGGGATGTATAAATACTCTTTTGCTACACTATATACAACACTCCAGAGAGCAGGGCCTTCTGCGGATGCCCAGAGAACATAGCAAACCTTGACAAGTCTGTGCGGCACCCAGTGCACACCGTAAAACCCCAGATGGATCGATCTCGTTTTCACCTCTATCAGCAGCAAGTATCTTCATCTCTCAGAACAATCTGGATCCATAATTTTATTACCGAGCAGACTCTGGGCACTGGTACTTTCAGAGAGAGAAACGATGCTACCAGTCTCTGATCTAATTATAACATAAGAGATCTGAACACAAACGTGGCGAGAAGATTCTTAAACACAACCATCGTTAACAGAGAGAGCCAAACAGCTCTTCATTCCAGCTCCATTAGTGATATAAAAGAAAGACAATCCGAGTCAGGAATGGAAATATGCAAGAAGTTTAATTTAGGTGAGGTGAATTTTTGCATCTGCTTTAACGATTGAGGTTTAGCATATATTGTACTTTTTACCCTTAAGGCCAAGTAATTGGCAACTGTGAAACCATTAATGTAAAATATTGATAATAAATTATGATAAAATAGCTACAGGACTGTCAACAATGTTAAATCTTGGCCTAATTGGATAAAGTGCTTTTTTTTTTTTTTAACATTGTGTGTTTTTAAGTATAAATACAAATGATTATGATTCCTTAAAAAACAGATTTATTACCAAGTTCTCTAAGACAAGGTTTTACAGTAAAGCTGTAGATGGTGGGCTACAAAAACGCTTTCCTTTTCCTCCTATTGCTCTGAATGCACTTATCAAGGCATGTCAGCTCAGGGAAAAGTGTGGCCAGAGATTAGTTAGAGGTATCCGAGTGCACACTTCCTGGGCCTTCTGTAGGAGAAGTCACAGAAGATGGAGTTGTTGCGTCCTGCCAGCCTCCATTAGCCTGAAAGGAGAAACACAGTTCAATGGGTGCACGTCTACATATTAATTCTACTCCCCAATTTAAAACACCCAGATGACAACATGAGAGCAGAAATGCATTAGCAAAATGTATTTTCTAAACTCACTGTGGCAGGAGTTGGCAGCATGTGTTAAAGTGGGATTAAATGCATGTAAAACAAATCCATCTCATCAAGTAAAGACTTGGCAATAAATCAACATGCCGAAGAAGGGCTTCAGCAAGGCCCACAGTGGCACCAAGCTCGGCCTTTGATCTGCTGGTAAAACTAAAGTGACTCAAAAAGAAATCTCTTAAGAAGGGAGCAGTGCAGAAGCTCAATGCAATGCCTTGGTGAAACCCTGGGCTCCATGAAGTCTAAACTTCACCCTGGCTTAATCATCATTTCCATAGAAAGGCAGTTGCCCACTCTTTTTCCATACATGCCTGACAGCTAGCTACTATAACCCTTGGAAAGTGAAGTCCAGAATTTCCCTCCAAATAGGATCTTCTAGAATGAAAATGCATGAGCCGTGGAGGAGCACACACTGTTCAAATCTGTATTCCAATTATCTGTGGCTGAGGCTCCTATTTGGGATGTTGCTCCCGCCTTCCACATGCTGCTGGCCCTTCCTGCCTCAGACCTGCAGCAGCAATAACCATACTCAGAAACAAATTTGCCTTATGTCTTGGCCTATAGTGGCAATTGCTGAAATCAATGTCTGATCAGATTTCTGCTGTGGCAGACAGCTTGTCGCTACATATTTTTATGTCAGTCAAGAAGAGGGAGGTGCTGGCCTCGTGAGTTGGGGAACACTGAGTGGAAGTGACGGGGCAGGCCTTTCTGGAGAGGAAGCGAGGGTGAGCTGGCTGACACCCTGAGCCTGCAGCACCAACCAACCTCTGCCTCCATGCTGCCTCAGACCCGGAACTCCCACACCAATGTCAAGGTGGGTCATAAGGTGCCCCTACCTCCTTCACATCTATTTGCAACTTCTTCTACGAGTCCATCCAAAATGCCCTCTTTCAGGCCTGGGCAGTCAGGCTGCTGGGAACTGTCTAGACTGCCCACTCAGCCTGGATACAGCTCCTAGATGAGTATGTGCCAGCCATTGTTTCTTCTCCTGTGATCACGGTTCCTGGAGAACTCCCTGCCTTCTGATTCACTGCAGACTTCTGCATGCAAAGCATCTTTTCTACCTCTATGACCCAGGGAAAGGGAGGGAAAAACCTAACAACCCCACAGAGATGACCAGAGCCAAAGGGAAGAGGACTTTCCAAGCTTGAGGCATGTCAAATTCAGGTTAGGAAAAAAAAAAAAAAAAAAAAAAAAAAAAAAAAAAAAAAAAAAAAAAAAAAAAAAGCTATGGCGGTATTGTTTTAAAGCCTGTTGTGCCAGGTTGGCTAACAACATGCCTGTGTGTGTTCAGTAGACTCTCAGAAATCCTCTGCTTTATCTAAAAGGTAAGCTGTTTCCCCCCTCAGGTATGAAAATCTACTTAGGAAAAGAAAAACTCTCACACAGATACAAGTCTAAAGATATTCCATCTGAAGTAAACATCATTCCTCTTTTATCCAAATTTATAAACAACAAATGTACAATATTTTTACCCAGCGTGGCAGCTGGAGGAGAGGTTGTCAGCAAGCATTCTTTTTTTTTTCAAAATAAATTAATCCTTACTCTGGTGGTTTGAGATTATGCACTGTATTATACAACAGCGCCTTATCAAGCCTCATCAGTGAAGATGGAATTCATGTCTGTAAAATGCTGCAGGCAATCACAGTTTCATATTTTATCATGTTGATAAGGATATCGCACATTCTCTGAAGCATTTCAAAACACTTAAATGAAAAAGGAGAAATGCAACTAAAAGGCTTTTTATATGGTTTGTTGTGGGTTATTATGAGTTATTTATAAGCTCAAAAAGAAAGATTTGACATTTCAAATGTAAAAGATTTGAGTATTTAATGGTCCTTTTTTCCCTTTACAATTGAACATCCTCAATCACTTTTTAAATCATTAATATTTACTCTCATAGCAAGCCAAGGCCCTAAAAAGGGAGAATTCTGCCCATTTTCTTCCTGAGTCTACTACCATGAGCTGGGCAGTTAATTTCCTTCCTAAGCCTGGAAACCCAGACTCCATCCACCACACCCCGCGGCACCACTACGATGACCTGATCCCTGCCCCTTTCCCCCCCATTCCAGAGCTGTGTGTTTTGCCATTTTCCATCCATGTCAGTGGGGGGAAAGGTAAAGTTGTAGTGAAGTGATTACAAAGTTAAAATTATTTCCTCCATAATTAAAATTGTCAAATATATTTGCATCCCACCTTGACAATACAGCAGGATGCTTTTAATAACAGAATTCTTTGTTTAGATTGGTTTGTTGGTCTGCCTGGGATCCTCCAAACTTATCACCTTCACCTGAGCTCTGTTTGGGAATTTTTCCTGCTGCCTGGTTCTAAGATAAATGACCTGTTTTCTACCATTTCCCTGGAACACAGCACCGAAGGTAGGAAATGGCATCTTAATGGGCTGATGCTTAAGTCCCTGCTGATGCCAGGACACCAGCCACTTCTGGGCATCTGGGAGGACTTCTAAGGGCATCTGGGTGGCATCAAGCATTTAGGTTCTTAGAATAAAAGTGCAGCAAAGACACTGCCTTCCCTACCTGCCAGTAAGATGAGATGCCAGGTCAAATGGCTCTTAATTTCTTTATTAGTCACTGTTTACCTGACACTGTTCTCCTACAGCTGGCTCCCCAGAGTACTCACATTTAAATTATGTGGACTGTACAGTGAATTTCCTCCAAGGCCATCACTGTAGCCTCCCGTCTGATTGATAACATGACGGAGGGTATCCACCTAGAAATGAGACAAAACAAAATTCATCATCCCAAATCTATTAAAACATCATCACTTACAAAAGGAAATAATTAGAATTATGTGTGCCATAAGGGTTTAACATCTTCAATGAAAGACAAATTTATCAATCAAATGTGACTGGCAGAATTTCAACCATTCTTTGCATATTTAAACTCACAAATCTTTGTTTTTCATGCCAGCCAAATAAGAACATCTTCGTGGCAATGCAACTTTCCATCTACGGCAATCAAATGCATGTGGCTATGGGTGAAAACCTACTTAGAATTGTGTATATAGAATTCTCTCCACACCCCCCTCACACTTTATGTCTCATACACACTCATCTACATGTATAAAAACTATATGAGTAGTTCTGTTCTCAATTAAGAGGACAAGAAAAGAGTAGAAATTACAGAGTTATAATTTAAGAACTCAGGTTTTTGCACTCTGATGTAAAAAATGCAACAGCAGTATGTTCTTAAACCATATCCACACTGACATTCTCAATTTTTCTGTTCTATTTTATGACAAAAGTAAGATGCACCCAACCCCTCTCCATGAGCTCAAGCCAGAGCCGAATGCATTCACAAAGTTTATCAGGTTTGAATCATCACAAGTCACTGTTCACTTGACTTCTCATTAAATTAAATGGTGGGGCAGATGGGTCCTGTTTGGAAGCACCCAGCACAGGTTCTGCATGGATATGCAGACCACTTCCGTGGGGTCAGAGGAAGGAGTTTTGAGCCCAAACCCTGCCCTGCTAGAAAGGCCCCACTGGGGCACTTCTCCTACCTGTGATTGCACATTGGCTCCGACTTGGGACCCTTGGTAAGAATCCCCATTCAGACTCTGCATGTTCATGAACATGTCCCCAGAATTTGGGAGGTTAAAAGAACCAGAAGAACCTGGAAAGGAAAGAGTTAAGTAGCTGAATAACAGAGAGCTACACACATAATCCTCAAAGACCTAGAGGCAGGGAGAAGAGGAGAGTACAGAAGGGAAAGGCTGTTCACAACATAAAGCATTTCCAGATCTAAGAGGATGGAGAACTCCAGAGAGTGAGGCTCTATGATTCACTCTACATCTAGGAGAAGTCCTATCAATGGGGAAGCCCAAATTTAAAAAACAAAAACAGAAACGAAGAGATAAATCAAAATAAATTAAGAAGAAAAAGAAACCAAAACACCCAAGCTGACCTGGATGCTTCCCCTTTTTTCCACTGATCTCCAGGACTTAGTTATTGCGAGCTTGTCAACATCACTAACTGTCACGGTGGACAGCCACCCAGAAAAGAGACTTTCCCAGGAGCTCTTTCTTAGCTATACGCCTCCCTCTCCTTTCACCTGTTTTCATATGTCATTAAAAAGGACTGGGGGGTGAGGAGACAAGACAAAACAAACAAACAAACAAAATCCTACTTTCTGAACTTCTAAAGATATATTTAGGAGACCTCAGAAAATCCCCTGGAAATGCTACTCGACTCTGTTTGGACTAGCTGCACATCTTTCATTGTTGTCCAAGTTCCCTGAAATTTTAAAGTATTTCTAACCCCCTCACAAATGTCACATAAAATGTGGCCAGAATGTACAAGATGAGGAGCCAAGAATCTTGTATCCATGTATTAAGTGTCATAACCCTCATCACTAGCCACCTGCTGAGCATACTGTCAGCCCCGCTTAGACAGTGCTGCTGAAAGGCCCAGAAAAGACAGCAGCGCTGGGCAGAAAGCACTGCTGCACTTCCCTCCAGCATTCCAGCTTCCTCACGCACAGCAACTGCTGCGTTTCCCACTTCTGCTATTTCACTCTCCACAGACCACTACTGACCCTAAAGTGATATCTGGAATGAGATAGCTAAAATGATCAGGAGCGATAGCACTCTGTCTAATTGCTGAACTGAAAGCCACTACTAAGTGTAAAAGTTCCACAGTCTACTAGTGAGTGGCACTCACTGTGAAGAGTGGGTTTACAGACTCTGGCTGTCTACTCATTCACCCATATCAAGAACAAGCCTGCATTTGAACATAAATCTTCCTTTATAAGTCCACTGGGTCCTCTGTATGGCTCTTGCTTCCTGGCCTGTGGGACAGGGCATTGTGGCATAAGGCTGTGTGGGCCAACTGGGGAGCGAGCCCCCCCATACGCACCCGAATTTGGTGTGGTGGGCGAATTGGTCTGGTTGTTCTGCACAGCTGCTGCTACTGCGTGTGCAGCTGTCACGGCGGTCTTTGCAGCATAGAGGTTGGCTTCTTCCTGAAACTTGCCGATATTCTTCTTGTACCTGATTCGTTTGTTGCCAAACCAATTGGATACCTACAAATTGCAGAGACATGGAGGTGAAGGGGAAGAGAGGAAGAAGTAGTCAAATTCCAGTAATACCTGTTGGACACCAAGGCGATACCTTGGGAGACACACAACTCCTAGCCTGCAACCTTGCATCCTATGGATCATGCATAATGGTTTTAGGGGTTATTTTCTCTTTTGGCAAAACTCTCACATTCCTTTGGAATAACCCTGCTTTCTTACAGTTTTCCACAGTAATACAGAATGGCAGGGAACACTGCTCATAAAAGATATCCAACTGCTATATACCAATTAGTATATAAATAGGCCCCCAAAATTAGGCTGAAAAGCTGAAGGAAATATTGTTAAGTTAGGTAAATAATAAGAAATACTTGAACATGATTTAATCTTTTTTGGGTCTGAAACAATTTTGCCAGCTGTATAGTAGAATCATGTTTGGTCTGCTGAAAAGAGTAACATCAATTAATAATGGATGAAAAAACCCTTTGTCTTCTGCCTTAGAAAATACTGCATGTCTGCCAAGATGGCTGCTCAAGCTCTGCCAGTTAATATGTGGGAAGGTCACAACTTGAAAACTCAAGTAATTCCAATCAGGTCAAATGCAAACACAGAGAAGCAACTCTAATGTCATCAGGTGAAATATATTTCTTTCTTCTGCAAACTTCTTATGATGTCAGCCGCTGCAAATGGAAGAGATTTCTACAGAGTATCTTGGCAACAGGCAGATTTCATCACATTTCAAGAAGAGCAGAACTTCAGACCCAGAATCATGGCTCAGAGTTACAGTATGTTCAGGTACCTGTAATTGACTACATAAAGAAGCTAAAAGCTACGTAGCAATTTATAAGAAAGTATAGCCACTCACTATATAAAGGGATCTGATCTCTCTTGTATTAAAGTAACGATTTAAAAATACTTTTCGATAATTTCTTTATAATCTGTCAAAGGGGCATATTGCTGTGATATCAGGCTAGATGGGGTCATTGTTCTACCCTGAAGGTATTATTCTTAACAGCTATTCAGGCGCCCTGAAGAGAAATAAGTAGTAGTATGTAGTTTGAAGGCTTCCAACCCAATTTACACTGTGGGCAACCCTTTTGACCAACATCTCTGCCAAGTCTTTGATTGCTCTGGAAATAGAATTCTCATTCTTCAATCTATGGCACTTATCCTTCTGGAAGAAGCAGAGAGCCCTGGCAAAGAAGCCACATGAGGAAAACAACACTGGCCTTGCTGCTGCCCATGTGATGTCCATCCTGGGGATCACAGGATGCACACATGTGCACATATACACATGTAGGCATACCTGCCGAGAACCCATGCAGCAACCATGAGCATAGGTTCATCAGACAGAAACAAGCCAAAACCCATCAGGAAGTAAATGTGCTACAGATCAGCACTTCCTAGCTGTTTCTGTTCCACCATCTTTTTTTCCCCCCTAAAAGGCTGCATGTATCCTTTCTTTTCTACATATCAAATAGAGTGGCTCTAATAACTGTTATTTGGTGAATGACCATTATGCAGAGCACCTTGCATACATTTTCTTATTTTAATGTCAACAATCTCAAGGGCTAGTGGTAGATAGGGGTAGTTATACAGGCATGACACCTGTCCCAAATCCAATGGCCTTGTCTCTCTGACTAATTTGACCTCTTAGCAGTGTCTGATACTTGTAATTAACACCCCTCTTTCCTAGAGCAGGCTCTTGTATGGTGTATGTGACATTATACTTCTTCTCCTCCAACATCTGCTCCTTTCCTGATACACAGTGTGTATGTGCGACTGCGTGTGTGCAAGTGTGTGTTTTCAGACACAGCTCTTGGCCCTCTTCTCTCTTTCACCTAGAGTATATTCAAAATTTTAGTTATCCTCTCTGGGTGGATGACTCCCAGATTTCCAACTCTATCCATATCATCTGTGAAGATAGTGAGTTCTCATTTTTAAAGAGATTTACATATAAATGCTCTGCCACAAACTCCAAATCAATGGGTGTGCTCTAAGCCCGTGCTACCTCCTCTATATTCTCTCTGTGGTCCTGATCTCTCAATCTCCAGAGATGTGGTACTCGCTACTTCACAAAATCCCTGCCTCCACTGTTGGATAGTCCTAACAGGTATATAGTTCTCTTTATTCTGAACTACAATCTGCTTCTGTTTCCTTTCCACACATTGGTCCTACTTCCAACATCTAGACTGTCACAACATTAGGCCTTCAAGCTCAGCCCCAAGAGACCTCTCCATCCTACTATTAGCCTTCTTGGTCCTCCCTTCCTTGAGCCCTGTATGCTCACAGCCAGTGTGCATTACAACTGTGGAGGATGTAGCAATAGGAAGAAGTTAGGAGAGTATATAAGCAAGGAGGCCATGAGGGCCTGAGCCAGGCAGAGTAGTAGGATTAGAGAGGGAAGATATTATGGAGGAGAAACAGGCAGAATCTGGCTCCTGACTAGCTCTGGAGGTCACCAGAGAGGGAGAAGCCAGAGATGATGCAGATATGGAGCCTAGGCCTTGAACAGGAGGATACTTGGGAGGAATTTCTGCACCAGGACAAATCAGCCTCAGTGACCATTAGGATCCATACCAGAATTATGTGATTCTAAAAACCGAAAAGTTCTAAATCAAGATTAGAAAAGGATGATAAAGGTATTGGTTCTGGTTATGCTTATTAAAGTAAGTTCTCTTTGACCTTACCTCATGTTTCCCAATGCATGCTCTCAGCTCAGGAGATAGACCTACAGCTGCCTTGCAAAAAGCTCCTTTAGTACATAATATCACTCTAGCTTTTCAGAATAAGACTGTTAGGCCTTAGAAGGAGTTAAATATTGAACATATCTATAGTGCAAAGGAGGACAGACTTGGTTGAGAGGGAATCTGGCATTTCTTAAGCATAATTAATGAAAATTCCCCAACTCTGAATTTAGCAACAAAGGCCCATCTCTTCTTCCAAACAATTCTCTGTTGGATTCAGTACTTTGTAGTTAATATTACCTTGACAATCAGAGAAGCTATAATACATTAATGAAACCTAGCTTGGAAAATCAGATTACAGCTTTATTAACAGTTTCATAATTGAGCAATCTCTGTACCATTGAAGGTCTCATCTCTAGATATGTAAGAATCCTCTGTTTATGCATACCCCTGGACCAATCAAACAACAGTCATCACTAATAAAGGTTTATTTAATTCTCACAGTAAAATTTTAATATCACCAGCAGCCTGGGGAAGCTTTAGCAAGTGGATTTGCTTGACATCAGATCGTTTTTATTCTGCTAGTCCCAATACTTCTTAATCTTTAATATCAAGGCAATTAAAATTAATGGCCACTCATCCGAAGCTACTGTGGGCACTGTTTCCTTGACATCAATTGTTTGATGGGATTACCTAGAGGTTAAACTAACAAGCAAGGTTTAATTGGAAGCAATGAAAGAAGCAGTGATCATACGTTATGTTTAACCTGCATAACCACATCTAAATGAATATCTAAAAATGTTAAACTATTTCTCAAATTAAAATATGCACGTCACATTCTGATATTACAGATTTGGGTATTGCAGCAATCAGCTCTTAAGACCACACTGCTGCAACTGAGATGGGGTAATTAATGTATCAATCGACACCTAAAATCAGGATTTCTTTTTCACCTTTTAAAAACAGATGGATCCAATTAGTTGCAAAAGAAGTCCTAAGCTCACCCAGTGGGAAGCCTCCAAGGCTGCAGATCGTGGGGCCCCTCCTGCACAGTGCTCACAGAGCGGGCAGGCTGTATGCACAGTGCATGAAGGTGAGCAGAGCTTGCTCCACCTCTAAACTGGAATGGTTTGTACACTGGTCCCAGAATAGAAACACAGGCAGGAAATTGGTGAAGGGAAAGGGAATATGCTGTCCTGTGCCTCTCTGTTGAGCTGCGTATCAAGGTTCATGACTCTGGATTGTGCCCAAGGCAAAGGGCCATGGAAGAATTTTAAGATCAATTAAAAATGAGAATAAAAGCACAAGTACTCTCCTTCTTCTACTGATGTTCATTGTTATCAGCCCCCAGACTGAGCCTCTGGTAATTAGGGGAATGAGTAGTGCACATAATGGAGGCTGCTGATTTTCTGAAATCTTTCTGCAAGGCCAAGAAGCAGCCAGAAAGGGTTCTGGTCTCTCCTATATACTACAGCCATGTATTTCCCCCACCCAATTCAGCTACAGATTGCCAATTGCTTTTAAAAGTAAAAATGCTTTCCATATAATAACTAGATTCACCTTTTATATAGCTTTTTTACCTTCTTCAAAAAGCTTTTACTCATTATCTCACTTAGAATCTCTGATTTTGAAGAGGTTGAGTCAGATGTGGGAAGTATCACATAATGGTGATGTACTTTGGACTCAGAATCCGATTTCAAATTCACACTCTGCTATTTACTAAGCTGAGTGACTTTGGACAGGTTGTTTTAGTTATTTTAGTGTTTTCTTTCCTATAAAATGAGAATAATAACATAAATAGTAATATCTTCCTCACAGAATTATTGGGTGCATTATTAACGGCTCTGGCACATACCATTTACTTGGTAACTATTAGCTATTACTATCCATCATGTTTTATCAAAGAAGAAACGAGAGATCCAGACCACAGACAAGTTGCCCAAAATCACACAGCAAAGTGGGATGGATCTAGAATTCCACCCAGGACTCCCCGTCAGCTTTTTTTTTTTTTTAAATAACCAACTGCAAAATGCTTACAGAGCATCTGCTATGGTCAATACTATACCAGGTACTGTGGAGAAATGAAAAAATAAACACATGGCCCCTGCCTGCCTGGACTTCACAATCTCGTTAGAAAAGCAATGCTATCCACTCAAAATAATTAACAAAACTTGCAGGACAGTGATGATCTCATGTCTGTACAGTACAGACTCTAAAAGCAACAGAGATTTGAAGGAAGAGACATCCCAGCAAATCTGAGAAATCAGAGGAGGCTTCTGAGGCAAGGTCAAACTTGAATGGGACGTCTGTTTCAATTTAGTT